CCTATACTGCATGCTCGATGCGGATTACATTGCGCTTTGCAGCGAAAGCAGAGACGCTGTAGAATAAAAAATGGAGACATGGAGAACAGCTCTTGTGAAGAACAGCTTTCAACGTTCAGTATATATGGTGGGCTACTTCCGTGGGGAAGACAGATTGAAAGCCGTCAAATCAGTGACAGTGACAGGGGACGTGTGCCTGAAATTCAAGGATTAAGCTACTTTGGTTCCATCCTGCAACGTCATGCGGAAATTGACACCGAAATAAGAAATTGGCGGAGTAAAGCTTGGTTCAAATGGAGAGAAGTGAGACCGCTGCTTCTGTACCGAGCGGAAGATTTTTGCTATTCTCAAGAGATACGAGCAATGGCTGAACTCGGTGGAACTGCGAATGCTCAGATGGATGTGTGGTGTCAGCGGAAAGGACCACATCCGAAAGAGCTCCACAAGAAGTACTCTAGGGGTAGCGCCAATTTCAGGAAGGCTTATCGAAACTAGGCTTCGTTGGTTCGGTCACGTGAAAAAATGTGGAGGAGGTTAACTCGATCAACGAATCCCGTTAAAGAGAGCACGCGACGAGATAAAAGATGTAGTTTCTCATTAATGCATAATTCCTCACTCAATTGAATGGACATCCTTCAAGAGAGGAATGTAGTTCTACATGGAATTAATGCACCACGCTTCGCTTTGCTGTTGTTTTCTCATTGCAGAACTAGGTCATAACCAGCAGAAAACTGCAGAATTATTGCGTCCAACATCCAGAGGCAATATTACATAATAATGTTACGCAAAATGCGAGTAAACATTTCTCACGTCGAGTCAGTGTGTTACGTTATAATCGTTAGGAAAATCACTGATAATGATAATCTTGTTCAACAGGTGATCATGACAGAAAAGAGATTCATTCTCTCGGTTCTGGTTTACAGCCGTGACATGCGCTGTTTCGGTACTTCTCACCTATTCATCTATTATTACATTTAAAGTTATAAAATGTTTGTTACAGGAAGACACTTGGAAGGAATTTTATGAACTTTCACTGAGGCCGTTCTTGATACAGTACCGCAAATTCCTGGATCATGGTAACTCTCGATATCTGCTTGGACCAAGGGTAATACCTAGGACAAATTTCAGTTTCTTGAATGTCGATTTTATTCATTTATTTCAGCTCACGTATGCAGATATAGCCTTGGCTGAAACTCTGTCGTTGCTTACCGAATGCTACAACACTGCAGCGCTGTATGAATTAGAGGACTTGGAATTCTTTATGAAAAGAGTCTTCGACTTTCCGGTCATCAAACAGTATGTTGCGAATCGTCCAAAAGCTCTGTTCTAATCAGATGTTTGCTGACCAAAGAAAATGAATTATTTTGCCAA